GATTGATGGCCTAATCGCAGTGACGCGCGAGAAAGCAGGCACTTAGCCGAAGACAGGGCGTGATAATGAGAGCTTCTAATTGAGGTTCATTCTCTCTCCCTGCTTGGTGTTGCAGGCAGCTGCATAGCCTCTAAGTACGGAGAATGAGCCTTTGTGCTCATCACTGCACCTGTATAAGGAATCTCCCACGTGCTGGTGTGCGCTCTGACGTTTTCTAATCACCATATAACACCAAAGAAAATCAGTGCTTTCGGACTGGGACAAGTATTTCAGAAGACCACGTGAAAGTCCTGAAAGAGGAAATGCAAGTGGGACACACCTACATTCAGTCCCTTTGAAGCCAGCCTACAGTAACCAAGAAAAATTAAATATGACTCAATATCCTAAAAATATGGCCTTGAGAAAATTCTGAGTCTGGCTTGAAGAAATGCAGGCCACTTTTATTCAAAGAGTTTCCAATGATCAGGCATTTTCCTTGGGGAGGATAAGAGTGTGTGGTGTGATGACGCATTTAATGCGTTTCAACGCTGGGCACCATTTTGTGTTTGATATGATCTCACCTGATTTTGTAAGACTCAGCCTTAACAGCTTTGGCTCATCACAGCACAGTGGGATTGTGGGCCCGCAGATGTGCCTCTCTTGAACACAGCACCATATAGAAGATTTAAAAGCTGCTCACTTGTGTCATTCTCCCATTACGTCTCCAGTGATTCAATGTTTCAACTAAAGCAGGCTAATGCCCTCCCCCCCATGCCAGCGCTCTCACAATTGTGTGCCTTTGCTTCCTAATCACAGGTGGGCGAGTGAACCACAGGCCTCAGCCTCTGCTCTAAGGGAGAGCTGTTGCTGGTTGGTATGCTCAAAGTTTAATACAATGATCAGTCACAAAGAAAACGCTACTCACACAGAACTGCCACACGTGGCTGTGGATTCGGGAGCAGAACGCAACGATTGCAAGGCAATAGGGGATGGGCGATTGACCCTCCTGTGCCACAGCCTGCAGAGCAAGACAGCGAGCACGCAGCTCTGCCCAGCACAATTCAACAGCTTCAGCAGCTTCAGCCCATTAAGATCAGCCAGAGAGAAAAAGGATCTTATTAAAAACCGACTCGTCGGCTTCAGCCCTCCGCTGGAATTTATCTACAGCGGGCAGCACAGTGAACTGACACCAGACATGGGGGTTTCAAAACAAGAAGGAAAAAGTGGCACAAAAACCACAAACAATTAAAAAAATAAGAAAAAACAGCATCTCTATGTTATGGTGAAACCTCTGCCAAGTGTAGTTTTCTCTTTTTTTCCCCCCAACAAAAAATGTTTTCATTCAGCGAAACTTTGCTCTTTCGACCAGCAGCAGTGAAGCGAGAAAAGGAAAAACTAACCTCGGTTTACTGAAGATAATATTTAAAGAAGATAATCTCACCAGGGCTGTGCTTCGTCGTGCTAGAAGTTTGACATCTTCTGCATTCACCGTGGTTCTCTTCGCATGCCTGAGATGAAACACAAACATTCAGAAAGCATTTGATAAATTCAGAGACTGTACTCGGCTCAGCATGGCACGAGTGTTGGTCTTCTTCACTCTATTATTCTGATACCCATCCTGCATTCATGCCAATAAAGACAACGCTATGTGAGGAAAAGGGACCGCAGCAAGTGGAATAATGACAACAGTGAAGGAGAACAGACTTTTTTTCCGAACAATATTAAAATATACAATGATAACTGTGATCATCAGTCCACACAAAGGAAGGAGTGTGGACAAATGGATGATGATGATGATGAAGATGATAGCGTTTATACAGTACTTTTACATATTGGAGGAAACCCATTTAGTTAACCACTGAAGTGTAGCACCTATTTGGGTAACACACAGCACCTGTGCTGAACCAGCTGCCCCATGATGCAGCACATCACGATGGAGACAACTAGAAGAAAACTACCTTGGTGTCCACAAACACCACTCACAGGAGGAACCTGGGTTTCCCTGTACTGCTCCCACCCTAGTACTGACCAAGCCCAAACTCACTTAGCTCCCGAGATCTCATGAGATCAGGTTGGTGGCAAAGCCTACAAGTTCAAATCCCAGCTGCTGCAACCTTGAATAAGATACTCCTCCAGCAAGCTCTGCTAAATACATGGCTTCCACAAACATATGGAAAACAAACTAACTGCTGTATGTCACTTTGGATCGACGTGACAATCAAATTAATTGTTAGAGTAGAAGTTAAAGTAGAAGTAGCAGGAATCCCCTGCAGTGCACTTCAGAAGGGGTCACTGTGTTCCTCACAAATGTTCTTTTTGCACAATGGGGATTCCTAAACCCATATTATAAGACAAGAGAGAGACTCAGCAAAAAAAGTAAACTTTACCTTGCAAATGCCTCAAGATCCTTTGCAAAAGTATCTGAAATTAAAATGAAATGAAGATTTTAGTCAATCTTACACTTATATACCCTGCTTTTTTGACACCCACCCCTTCCCCACAAAAAAACTGGACTGTACATAATGTAGTGTACTGCACTACATGACTGCACACTGTCCAATAATGTCAAACACAGCACAGCAGTCAGGTACTGAATTCAATCCAGATATCATGATTAAGTGAAACCAATTGAAAACCTCTCAAAAATACACTTAACCCATCACACACACTCTGATTCTAACACAATGAATGAACCAGCGATGTGTAATATCACCGGAATAAAACTGTCCATGATGCATTTAAAAGTAAGAACAGGAGGCACTTCTTTATGTAAAGGTTTGTGTGAGTTTGGAACAAGCTGGTTGTTGAAGCCCAGAAACAGCTGGATGAAATCCTTGATACTAACTACCAATACTGCTACTTACTACTATCTGGGGCAAATTTCTCTCAGTTGAAACCTGTTAGGTTGCAAAGTTTGTGTAGATGCCAGATGTATTAACTACTGAATATTTGTGGTTTATTCAGATTTTAGATACCTTACATTTAACTTTGTATCTAAAGTACAATTCCCTACGACTATCCATAGTGCGTGCATTACTATTTTTGCATTTCACACAGTTTTGAAGACAAAAAGAGTATTTTTACTTTTACAACTCTTTGCCCTCTTTTGTAACAAGACCACAATTTTATCTCTGTTAAACCATAATATAAGCTGTGCATCCCCCAAAACCACAGTGGAACTCAAAACAGCAGACGATAACATTCTTAAAATATGATTGTTTTGCATTTCACAAACCTGATGTAATTACTGCAAAGACAAAAGAACAATAGTGAGATCTTAAGATATTGTAGCTTCACGACTTCTTTATATGCTTATCTTCAAAGAGAAAAAAAAATACTACATCCTGCCTTAGGAAAAAATGGGCGAAACCAACACCAGCAACACTGTTTTCTAGTTAAAGTACATGAAAAGTAACACCTTTTATCACCCTCTTCTCTGTAAGTTTCTCATAACTCAGGACGGAAAAAGGATATGCTCACTATCTGTATGTTTTTAAAGTGTAATTGTATTGGGCTTAATGTGTCAAATGAGACCCTGTTATCTTTTTAAAAGAATTTACCTTTGAACTTTTGAGAGTTTAACAGTTAAATATCAAGGTGTGCGACTTCCTATTTGCTTAATAAGGTTAACTATTTTCCATTTTATTTTGCAAATAGAAAAGAAAGATGAAAAACAATACCTTTTTATTGCTCTTGTAGTTAAATAAAAAAAAATAATAATTTTCAGACTAAGTGACAACACTGTCAAGGCTTAGTTTGATAAAGATTATAAAAAACAAGTGCTATCATCCAGGTGGATGCTGCACATTGGTGGTGGTGGAGGGGAGTCCCCATTACCTGTAAAGCGCTTTGAGTGGAGTGTCCAGAAAAGCGCTATATAAGTGTAAGCAATTATTATTATTATGCCAGATATGAAGGAGGCCACTTGGTTTGTTTTAAACAATAACACTTTTTTTCTTTCATCTAACAGGTAAGCTTTTCATTCTGTTCTAGCTCTTGTACTATAACACTCATGTATGATTAGAATAACTTAATCTCATTCTATTAAAATAGGATGTCACTCATTCTCCAATCAACTCCGCTGGTCGTCAAAGAGGTGCTACCAGAAGAATATACTGGCATTCGCATTACAGACTTAAGCACAAAACAAGTCATATACTTTGAAAATGTGAAGAGCTAAATGACAGTAAATACTGGGGTGGAGGCTGGATAACAGGAAGAGTAGCAGAGAGCTCCAGTTAGTGCAACATAATCTGAAGATGAGGCGTCAGAAAAGACTGTATTTCTGCTGGACTGGGAAGAAAAGAGACAGAGCGGTGAAACCAGCAGACACTAGCGGACACAGCCCACGTGGGTTTGATCTCATTTTGGAAGCAGGGAAAAAAGAAAGCAATCAAAACCAAGCTGCTGGTCTCTCAAGATCATGTCGTATGGCTGGGGTCTCAAACCCAGCTCCTAGACAAGGACACTGTGTTTTCTGGATTTAGTACCAGCCTGAATAGTCAATTAGATAATTAACTGTATTCTTAGATATGTTTCTTAGAACATAAAGGATTTTTCTTAAATGTGTTTTACAGTTGACTACTCAGAACACACATTTCTTTAAAGGCATCTCAGAGCTGGACTAGAAGTGTTACAATTTCAAAGTTAATGAAGTAATAAACATCAGCAGAATTCTTTGTATTCTGCGATGGGTATCATATTACCCAACTCTCATTGAATCTGAAAGTTTCTGTTAATGAGGTCAACTAAATGGAGGAAAGAGGAGCTTGAGAAAAGGAAAGCAAACCTTAATCCAGCTCCACTGCTCTTCCAACAACCAAAGAGTTCTGCATTAGCAGCAGTGAGTTCCTAGAAGCAGCTAAACGTAAAACCACCCATACCAAACCAACCGAAAGTGTCAGTGATCTCTTCCTCTTCATCCTACAATCCCACAGTCAAACCAATTACTCGATCAATAAATGAGTTCACAATAAAAGAGTAATGGTTCATGAGCAAGTCCAATCAGTCGATTATGTGCAAGAGTAATCGGGTGATGTGTAATTATATGGGCTGAGTGTAATTGTGGGGGGTAAGTTTCCAGGGTTCTGGCGTGGATTCCTGTAGGAATGTTGTGAGGACATGTCTGTTACGTAATGTTATATTTACTTGTTTGTATGTTTTGGAAGTCTTTGCGTGCATAAAACATGGCTGCCTTGATGCATACAAACTTCTGAGAATTCGGGCTTAACGACGGTAAAGATAATACCGTTATCTCGCAGGCGATAATGACAGTACTTGTCTAAAGCAGAGATGTCCTGAGGAGATAAGATAAGATCACTTTATTAGCCCTATACAATTTATCGCATTAGGAATTTGTCTTTTCGCGTACCCCAGTTTGCTCTCCATGAGACACACAGATAGGGAGAGAAGCAGGGGATCAAAGCGCTGGGACAGCCCCTGGAGCAGCTGGGGTTAAGGGCCCTGCTCAGGGGCCCAACTGAATAGAAAGGGGAAGGGGATCCATATCGCTTGTGAAAGGAAGCGACGCCTGATAGCATGAGCCGACACTCACCACCCTGCCTGAATGTGGTCTCCGCAAGAGCAGCAATGCTCTGCCTGCTGAACTGCACGTCGCTCTGCTCTCCCACCTCTCTGCAGAGCAGCCCGACGGTGTAGTGGACGGCAGCTCTCAGCCTCTGCAAACAGCAAGGTCAGGAAAATCAGGCAAAAGTGCAAGCGCACAGGATCGGAGACACCACGGCCTTTTAGTCCTTTTTTGTCGTTTTGGCCTCGAACTCTTCCAATTTACTCACCTGGGTTTGCATGAAACGGCTTTGTTCGGCCTCATCGTTCATCGCACCAACTGTTTACTTTAGTGTAAAAGAATGAATAAATGTTTTAAACATGCCAATCTTTTCACTAATGCCTGTTGAATTTTCCCGCAATGTACGGAACCCGGAGAAGGCCAAAATGGTCGGCGTTTTCGCGAACCAGTCGCGAAAAGCGTATCATTACAGGGCTTGGGGCTCCTCCTATATTTCACACAGGTTAGAATAAGAAATCGATTTCAAGCAGCGTGTTTTGTATTAATATTAAATTTACGAAGACAAAGCATTAATGGGCATCTGATATGTAACGATTCCAGATTTTGAAGTTTTAGGAAATCATTCGGGTTTTTAATCAGGAGATGATGTTTGCATTGTAACAAACGTTGGGTGTATGAAGTGTCCTATTAATGTGCACGAATTCTGTCAGATGTAGTTTATGGGATCATGTAAAGATATACGACGCATAGAACATAGTCGAATACTGTATACGGTTCAAACTAAATGTTACTAGTGGTGTATAGGCTACAGTAGGTCTATAAATCATTTTACAAAACAGTACTTGAGTTTTTAATAGTTTGTTTTAAAAAATCCCGAAGGTTCAGATATTATCTAATGATGCACATTTTCACACTTTGTTTCTGTGTTACTAGGCGCGGCTACCTACCCACACCTGCAGACAAACAGGAGTTTGATGTCTGCCGCAAGTTACAGATAAGTGTTATCTACAGCGTAAACATTGTGGACCGGTAATGAGCCGACAGCGAGGCGAAGAAAAAAAAAAGGTCACTTTTAAAATGTCAGTCTATGGTAATGTGTGTTTCGGGTTCTGACATCAATTTCAGATCTGTTCTCTCTATATCGGGATGCGCTTGCTCTTACACAACGCGTATTCCTTCTGTCATGCTTCACTTGCACAGTGATTAGAATCCTGACGTCATATAGCTTCCAAAAATTCAGTTTAAAATGTTAGGAAAAACTAAGACGTTCTTGTTACTAGGCTTAATCATCTTTTTGGTCCTAATCTGGGTAAGTAGGCTGTGTACCTAATTACAAAACCGTAATTGCTCGGGTTTGAAAGAATCTCGAAAAGCGATGTAGGATTGTTAACTTTTACTCATGTTCCTAGACTTAAGATACTAAGCAAGAAAGCAAGGGAAAATGTCATACCTTTTTGTTTTAAAGGGGTCATTTGGACAGAAGAGATGTTCAAATACTTGTCCTGCTGGTAAGAAACTTGGTTTCTAATTTTATTCATTTATTCCTTATTCACAAAAAATACTTAAACACTAGTAGTAAAGTGCATCTATGTAGTAAAATATTAGTGTCACTACCTTTTGTGAAAGTGAAATATTTTCAGTTTATTAGGCTGATTGTTTCTTTTTTTTCTCCACACTTGCATGTCATTTATTGTCATTTTATTTTGTTCACTAAATTGTGTGTTTGCAAACTGTGATTCTAAGCGAAATTATTTTGAAATATACTGCTGGTGTCCGCCTCTTCGTCTTTCGGTTGACTCTGTTTTTAATGTGTTATCTTGGCAAGGAGAATTTCAGTATAAAACGTGCACCTGCAGTAAATGCCCAGGAGGTACTTTCTCCAGCTCTGAAAACCACCTGAAGGAATGCCAGAGGTGCCACTCTCAATGTGAAGGTCCGTATGGAATAACGGTGAAGGGGATTACCTCGTGTTTATCGATTAGCGCACTGAGATGTATTTATCGGATTGCAGGGGATAAGGAAGAAGCTGAGCCGTGCACTGCCCGTTCCAACCGAAAATGCAGATGCAAGACGGGATTCTATTGTTCCATTTTTGATAAGGACGGAAGTTGTTCCGAATGTGAGTAAAATGAGCCCGTCGAGTTTAATTCGAACACTTCACATTCCGCGGCTGGAGCTGCAGTAGCTGAACCAGGTACAGTATGGATGCGTACCTCATGGGACTGTGCCGAAAGAGACCCCTACCTTTGTTTTGCCCGCCAGGAGCTCAGATTTAACCCTGCACATTAATGGTCTCCTGATTTCAATACATCTTTAGGAAAAGCAAAATCTTGCCGCTGCTTAATGAATTGAATGATTGGATATGCAGGCAGCGTGGCGGGGGACACACCGTGCTCTGACTCTTCCAATGGGAAATATCGATGCAAACCAGGGTTTTCCATTGAGAAGGTTACAGTGGATGGGATGCATATCACCAAAGTGAAAAATGGACCTATCCCTACTAATTCCACCTCTACAGCACCTTCTGCTATTGGACCAGAACCAGGTACGGTATGAATTGATGACCTGTATGTCCTGCAGGCCTGTATATTTATTATATGCAATAGTCTGTAGAGTGACTTTGATAGATGCATGGATAAAATCACAGTGCACTACTGAGAAATTACTCTTGTACCTGTTAATACTGTAGTAAAAAAAGTTTTTATTCAGTGCAATGAACTAATGTTACCCACATATTGCTCATTTCAGTTACAGTAAAGCTCAGTCATGAAATGATTCTAAAACGGGGACTTCCTTAAAGGTTCTCCCCTCTAAAATCTGCTGAGAAAAGGAGAAGGAAGTAGGGACCTGATGCTCCCAGAGGAAGCAGAGCAGCACCAGTGCCTGTCCTTCAGCACAAGAGTAGTCCCCTGGTTAAAAACTAAAACAGCATCATCTTATCTGAAATGTTATGGTATTTATCACAAACCTCACAGTCCCCGTGCTCAAATAATTTGGAGTTTGCATTCACCTATCAATACTGAATCTTTTAAAACTTGCCTTTTCTTTCATCTTGTAAGAATGAAGATGAAGAATTAGAGCCTTGAAGAGGGTGCAATGTGTAATCAGAGATTATTAGGCTTTGAATCGTCTCTCTGATTTTAATTTCAGAGTGAATTATGTTATTAGTAAAGTAAACATAGTAGTCTTAATAGCAGAAATTAGTTATTTATAACCTTGCAGTCTATTATTGACTTGAATTTTCAAGTTTTCTGAGGATGTTAATCAAAAAGTTACTGGAACAGGTTTTACATGACTTTATCTATATTAGTCAGCAGTAAAACAAAAAAAAATATGTAGTGGAAAAATTATACTCCATGAAAACTGGTATGATAAGCATTCCATTTTTAGACTACTCAAAATCTAAAGAAATCTGGTATTGTATTTTAAGAAATTGTAACATACCTTTCCTATCCGTTCTTAAAAAAAAGTCTTGTTTTTTTGTCTGCTTTTACAGCTCCATGTAAAACTCAAAGGGTAATATTTGCATTAGGGGTCAGCCTCATTTTATTGATCAATCTTCACTGCCTGTGGGCTCTTTGCAATAAAGGTAAGTAACTTCCTGGCTGCCACCTGCTCTCTGTCCTAATTAAGACCTCTACTGTTTCCTAGGCTTTGTCTTTTATTTACATACCAAAACAGAAGCAAATACAAAGAGAGGTCATAATTGTGTTTTTTTTTCTTTCAGGAACAAACCTTTCATCTTATACACAGGTATTCCCTGCTTATTCATTGATTCAAACGAGATAAACTTAGTCTGAAGACATTCAGTACAGATTAGGATCAAAGATAAAATGAGGAGACGCGCAGCAGATGCAAATGACTCGTAATCTTGATTTGAGAAGTTCCGTGCACATTATTTTTCCTTACCCTCGGAAATGAACATTTCAAATGACTATGGTCTGCGTCTCTTAGTCTGAATGGCTCTGTACTTTGTCAAGGTGCGTGTCCTTTGACCTCCATTGCACGATAAATGTAAACTATTCATTATAACGGGGAAAATGCGAGTAAGAGTACGGAAAGTGAGGAATTATATATGCACATTCCGGAGTAGCTGACAGGGAAGTGTACGAACTCAGCGGGCGCGTGTTTGTAATTGCAATGATGAACTAATGGCGCTGGACTGGCACAGGGACTTGGGTTCAGACTGAGTAGACTCTTCATTCCCACACATTTCTCATCTGGTACCAGGAGCATTCAATCTGCTCACAGCCATTTCACTAGGGGATGAACACTGGCGTTTCTTCTTACGCGATTACGTCAATTTTAAATACCAAGGCGTTTCACAGGTTTTTTTTTTAAGTTTTGGAGGAGGAGGGGTAGGAGAGTATCTTCACACGCAAAAATCGAAACTTTTGCGACGCCCTAGGCAAAGTCCCCCAGAAATTGAGTCAAAAGACATTCTCATCAGATGATAATCTTAACACAGAACTAATTCACCTACAGGAGGGAGACATGAAAGTACCTTCCTTCTTTGAAGCGCAGGATCTAAATTCGTGAACAAAGTTGTTGGGGGTTTTTTTTGGTTCCCCCGAAGTTTTGGGTAACGCAGCACGAAATCACGATGCAGCATGATTTTGAAACATTTTATATTCTTGTTTGAGATGAAGGCGCATATTTGATCCAACAGTTCCACATCCCAACCAATGCAGTTGTAATCCTCACCCCTGGTTCGGTAAATGCTAGGCTAGGGTTCTTATTTATATTTTTGTATGGATTTAGGAAAAAAAATCTCCCCAGGATTGTTGAACCTATGTGTTTGATATTCACAAAAGGCTGTACAAGGATTTCTTTCGTTGTAGGATTCGTTTGGGGGGGGAACAGATGTCCCCAAATGGGACAATAAAGCTTGAATTGAATTGAATGCTTTCTGAAGGGCCTGTGCTATAAGCCGGAGAAAGACCGTGGCCTACCTGGAGACGGTGCGGGGATGGAGAGGGGAACAGACTCCGGGACAGGAGAGGAGAAACTGTCGGACGCGTCTGAGGCATCGGAGACCACGACTGCACCGCCCAGTCACAGCCAAGGAAGCAGTGTGTGCCCGGGCCACGCCATCATCTTGGGGTACACCCGCGAGGGCACAGCCCCGCGGGGGAAAGGGCTCCCCGAGATGGAGATGCTACTCCTTACCGGTAAGAGCCGTTAACAACAGGAAGTCCGACACAGCCGATCAGTACGACGTTAGGTTTTAGCTGAACGTGCTGTCGAGGTTGATTGTGGTTCACCCAGGAATGTCACCGCCTGTTTCCTAATGTGCAAACGATCTGTCTTGACCTCTCTCTCTCTCTGTCCGATTGCCCAGGTGAGCACTTCCCCCTCCCTGTGCAGGAGAACTGCGCCAGCTACTGCTTCGGTCACCCAGTAGAAGAGGTCACCCCTGCTGCCCCGGTCGACATACTTCACACTCCGGAGTCACAATATTTCTGTGAGAGCAAAATAGGCCCGCTGGTTTCAGACACCCAGTTTCTATGTGAATTTTCAGGGACGAGTAATTCCGAAAGTGGCATGGTGAGATCAGGGGAGAAACCTACAAACACGAGTATTACGATAGAAATGGCCCACACTGCCCTTCCATATTGAAATAATGAAAATAAAAAAAAGACACGCCCTGCATCTGGTTGCTAGCACTTCTCCTTTAAAAGATGAAGAAGGTAATACGACAACATCATTTATGTAACCTTTTTAAAACCAAAACTATTGAGATGGACGTAAATCCATCAATTTTCCATCCACTTTATCCCATTCAGGGTTGCGGGGAGTCAGTGCTTATCCTGACAGAAACGGGCACAAGGTGGGGAACACCCTAGACAGGACACCAGTCCATCACAGGGCACCACAGACACACACTCGCACCAGGGCCAATTTCCCAGCAGCCATTGAACCTACCAGCATGTCCTTGAACTGTGGGAGGAAACCGGAGTGCTCAGGGGAAACCCATACAAACTCCACACAGACACCAGCCCACGTCTGGAGTTGAACACAGGTCCCCTGTGCTGTGAGGCAGTAAAGCTAGCCACTGTTACTCCCACACTGAGTCACTTCATGACTGAGTTAGATAAGACGTAAATAGTGTGGAGGGACCAATTGCTGTACAGGTTCTCTGAAAGTATTTATGTATATATGCATCAATTGTAACTTAATTTGTTAGGTTTATATATTCTTGTTTTATTTTTCTGATGCATTGTCGATTTAGCTGACGACAAACTGTAACTGGTGTTTATGACGCACTATGTTAAATTGTAAATGTCCCTATTAAAAAAACAGACACAAATGAACATTGATTTGGCATTAACTGGGAAGTTTAGACGTGTTAACATTGTTTTTTTATGGTAAGCTGTCTTCCTTGATGTTCTCTCAACTAAAATAGAAAAATACCCGTTCATTTCAAAATGATAGCACCTGCTTGATAAAACAGACATTAAACCTCTCGTGTCTGAGAGAAAAGATAATTACAATAAATTATGATCGGCCAAATTAGTAAAATTGGTAACCTTTCTTAATTCAATAATGAAGATAAAATCAGAAAAGCCAACACCAAAAACAAGTGGAGAAAAAAGATTTAATGAACAACTAGCAATGAATACAAACCTCTCTTTCCTTTTAGAGATCTTCTGTTGGACCTTGAACAGAGGACAGGATCCAATTCTAACAAGATTTCAGTCTTTATTTAGCCTAATCCAATGAACTACCTAAATTTACTCCATTATTTATACTGTGAAAGATGCGAAAACATGATTCAAAAAAGCAAAGCGACCTCCTCCCCTATGGAACAGTCGTTACCAGACCTACCTAAACGATCAACCATGTGAAGAGAAATACATTTTACAAGTACTATGATTTTCCTTTCTCCTGGATAAATAATACAGTATATGCTCTAACCACGCCTTTACGAAACTTCTAATCTTACCATCTTAGACAAACATTTCTTTATAAATTATTTTGTTTACAAAAGGAATGTGTTGGTCTGTTTCCGTCCAATCCTCTCAGTGCTCTCAGCTGCCCATTTTGTAGGTGTTTGGTGAGTCTGTGTCTATGGGTCTCTGTATGTCCGTCTCCGTTTGTGTAAATGTGTCTGCGTCTCTGTTGTGTCTCACTGTGCCTCTCGGTGTCGCTGTGGGCATCAGTGCGCCTGTGGGCATCCTTAGGCGTTGTAGGAAGAAGAGGAAACGTTGCCCCCGTGTCCAGTCCAGTTCGTGTGGATGAACTCCCCAGGCTTGGACAGGAGCTCATAGGTGTGAGCGCCAAAGTAGTCCCTCTGAGCCTGGGAAAAACAAATACAACCACCAAATATTACACTGGGGCTCTAACTGAGGGTCTGCAGGACTCACAGGACTCAGGAACTATCACTCTCCACGTCCTCTATTTGAGGAAGTTCAATCAGGTGCAACAAACACCCTTAACTCAGGCTTAAAGACTTCACCTTCCTGACTCACTGCACCTAATCGGGGGGGGGGGGGGTCTTTGATGTCCTTGTACTTAGGGACAAGCCACCTTCTCATACTCCAAGGGCCAAGGGGGTAAAAGCCAAGTCTGCATCGCGAACGGCACACCCAGTAACACTCCGTACTACTGGTCTGCTACAGTGTATCTATTCTATTGTGAAACTAAGAAAGGTAACGGTGTCCCTGTGAAATAAACACCAAAACACAGAGCTGTGCAAGTGTCAAATTTCAAACTGAAGAAGTCTGCAAGCTGTAGCCCAGGTAGCACAAAAACCTTTCAACTCAACTCGTAGAAAACAATGTGAAAAAATGGCACATTTAAAATGCATTAACACTGCAGTAAAGTGCAACCCCATTAATAACAGTCCTACAGAAATTAACACCGTCTCAATTGGAATATACGCATTTCAAAAATAAAATGTAGCATGCCTTTGATAAGACTAATGATAACAGCAAAGCAGCACTAACAAGTGCCTACTGCAATGGTGAAACTGCAAGCACTAGTAAAAGGCTAGAACACGGTATTGTGACCAAAGTAAGAAACAGAAGAGATGTTATCAATACCATCAGCTTAGCACACTGCTACCTTCAACTGATGCTGTAACAGGTTCCAGAGGGGATGATACAGCCAGTGTGCCAGGAGATATGCCCTGCCTAATTCATCAGTTGCGAGGAGAAAACAGAGCATGTCTCTTGTGTGTAATACGTGGAAAAACCAGGCACCATCATGTGACAGCAGCACTTACCACCTTATGGTCTGACCTCTTCATACTGCCTTGTCTAAGCAAGACTGGGTCAGCTCAGGAATGAGGTGGGAGATTGTCAGAGTAAATCGGGTTGCTGTTGCAAGTACTGCTCATGGACCAGTAGGTGGCACCGTTTACACAAGAACGGAACACCCAAACCAACATTATAAACAGGGCCACTGCGGTGTATGTAGGAGGTGCCATCCTTTGGGGGAGACATTAAACGGAGGTCCTGATTACTTAGTCATTAAAGATCCCATGGGAGAAGAGACAGTTTCTGACTTCTCCTCCTGATCTGTATAGTGAGGCTCCTGGCTGCCACCTGTCGCCCATTGGGGGTTCAATTCATCGGCATATGCTGCTCCGATGTGTAAAGAGCTCTAGGACCTTAGAAAAGAACTACTTAAATGCCATTAATTACTGAAGGTCTTCTAAGGAATGCACTGGGAGCAAAATATATTAGATATATACTTTCCTTCAAGTCGACCTTGTCCTGAAAGAAGGAAGGGCACAGGCACAGGCCCCAGCGCAGCGAGACTCACCTGGAGCAGGTTGGCGGGAAGCATGTTGTGCCGGTAGCCATCGTAGAACGACAGTGCCGTGCTGAAGCAGGGCATCGGGATGCCCAGCTGGACCCCAGTGCTGACCACACGCCGCCAGGACACCTGGGAGAAACAGGCGACGGGATTGTCACAAAACTCTTTCCCAACTGTGCCGTGCAGATGGGGCCAGGGGCATGGCACTGCACCAGGACAGCTCTCTGGAAAATCAGTTTACTTTTTGTTGTCTGAGCTGGATTTCATTTAAGTATTTAAGTAACAATGTATACTGATTTATTTGAACAAATTTTAAGTGTAATATTTTTTTAAATTATTTTTTGCTGTATTTCTTTTCTTCTTTTTTTCTCAGAAAACGATGCCTCACAAATATTATCACTACATCAATGGTAACAGATCCCCTCACAATAATGCACCTATACTAAACTAGGTGTATCCAAGAAATGCTAAAAAAAACTAAGAATAAATTTATCATCTGTATGACCAAATGTTGCAGAACGCAAATCAAAAGATGTCTTTTCAGAAGACTTAAATAAACTTTATTAATGTGTAACGAGCATATCTAAACGCTCTGAACTCTTAGAAGCTCCAAATACCACAGCCGAGTGGGAACGGTCCCTCCAAACATTTCATTATTTACATTCATGGTGCAAAAGACATGTGGCAGCCTTTCAGCTGATGGATCGCAATGCAAACCGAAAGGCACATTTTATTAAAGCACATGAAAAAGAATATGTCTGCTTTGGCTCCACAGTGAAATTTAGCTCCCTTTTCAACAATGAGAAATGATCTTTGATGTTTTAACATCTTTTTGAAAGAAAAGAGTAGTGAATATATACAGTATATATACTGGTCTGCTATTAAGCTTCTCCTCTCAGGCTTGGCTGTTACCACTCCTCGTACCTGACTGTCCTGCATAGCGCTGCTGAAGAAGCTGTCCAGCAGCAGGCTTTGTAGGTTTGAGTCCCGGTCAAATGCTTCCTTAATCTTCCCCAAGAAAACACTGCCAGGGGGAGAGAAAGATCACAGCTCGGAGTTAAAAAAAGAACTGGAAGACAACAAGGGCCCTCGCTTATTTTTAATAATTCCTAGTGCATCTCCCATTCGATGCATAAAGCATTCTGCCATAGAGGCACGAAGCTAAGCAGTGTGTTAAACATTTTTGAAGCTGTCTTTTCCAAAGTCAAGACCAGCTCCTTATTTAGCAACATCTGCTCAAAGAAGGCACGAGTCATTCATTCACTTTGCCTGGCGAGCTAATGTAATCCTCCTCTCAGTTTCACAACTGAGATTTCTCTACTTACAGTATGAATTGCAAAATCTTGCAAAGGTCATACTCAAGTTATCTCCATTTAAAACAAAGCTACCACAATGTAGAACAGAAAAGTGTTTGTAAATCTATCAAAGACAGACGTATTCAACAGGAGACCTTTTCCTGCTTTTGCACATTAACAGTGCAAACATGCAATGACAGGTATTCTCCACAAGAGGAGGCTTTAACAGTTCAGACAGGATCGTTCATTAGTCTGCACCTTCACCCCCAGAAGCTTCTAGGTTTTAACAACGTTAATTTAATTTGTAAAAATGCTTCTTATAATTGCACAACAGATGCCAACAACACTCGATTACAATAACTGTGCTGCACATGCTATACTGGCTGCAAGAAAAACATGATCTCCCCGATCTGCAGCTGTCACAGGAAAGGATTTTCCTAGCGCTAACGGAGACCTGTAGCACACGTATAATGCCTAAAAGGCAAACGCACGAGGATGGGCCCGCAAAGGGTCTCGTACCTGCGGATTATACAGCCGCCTCTCCACATCAGGGCAATAGCGCCGTAGTTCAGAGTCCAGCCGAACTCCTTGGCCGCCTGACGCAGAAGCATGAAGCCCTGGGCATAGGAGATGATCTTGGAGGCGTAAAGAGCCTAGTTCAGACACAGGAATAAAAACAGACAGACGTCCAGTGACCATGGAGACATGAACCAAGGAGGCTCCTCGACCTGCCTGGGAGACCCCCTTTTCAAGAAATCCTGATCAGTAAGGTCATTGGAATAATACTGTACATAACGCTGCAATTAACCGCACAATATGAAAACCCCAGTTGCAGGCCAAGGGATCTACTTTAAGTGCTGTTGGAACACATGTAGTTTGTTCAATTATTGACTCTATACTGTGGTATAGGACTTGGGGTGAATCCCTCTGCTTCCAGGGACCCCCGAACAGTCTTCAGAGATCACCTGAAATCCTGTCTGAAAATCCACAACGCAAAACACACAAACTCGTTCTCCTCGTTTTCTCTGTAGTGGACCTCAGCCTTCACCGGAAAGATCAAAGGCAAAGACCCACCTTCCTGATATCTTCGAGGAATTCAGTCTTGTTCCCCTCAAATTTGGCCCCCTGGGGCCCCGTGAGAGTTTTGCTGGCCTGCACCCGTTCATCTTTCAGGGAGGAGAGACACCTGGCGAAGACTGCCTCACCTGTCAGACAGCGAGATGGCCAGGAGACACATGAGCAGCCAGCGAGACCGTGGGGGAGCTGTCTGTCTCCTACTGCTCTGGTGTGCAGACAAACTCCACTCACAGTACAGACACTGAACTATATTTGTCATCATTTATACACAGCTTTGTGACCAGCAGTTCCTGAGAACAGAGTTTTACCATCTCATGTGCTCTATCAGTCTTTTGAACTTTTGCCTTCAGGAAGACGTTTTCGCTGCCCAAGGGGAAAGCCAAATAAAAGGAAATTTAGCTTCATTCCAGAAGCCAACAGGCTTGCAAACAATGACTATGTATCGATACAATGTCTATTGGACAGAGCACCCTCTACAAACCTGCATGTACTTTAATACCTTTTCAAACACAACACACTAATACTTTGAATCACTTCTATGGCCGTTTTTATTAATGTATATACCTTTTTTACTTAGCAAGGTTGTTTTTTATTGTTACTGTATGTGTTGTCTGTTGTACTGCTTGCTCCTTAAATTGGCCCCCACGGGACGAATACAGTATTTTGAATTGAACAGAAATAAAACATCAGGGAGGCTAGCAAGATTCTAGGATCACTACAACACATCAAGTGTGGCTTACATATCTGTTTGAATCAGGAGCTGCATCAATGTGAAGACTGCACTGTGGAAATAACCTCCGTGTTTCCCTGTTCATCCATCACTAGAAAAATACTCCTTGCTTCACCTTTATCAAGCCCAAATAACTTTAAAAACAGTTGCAATGTATCCATTCACAGCACTTCATTTGTCTTCAAGATAAACAATGCTGATTTGTGCGCGCTGTATATCTTGGCTTGATTCCCAATAGCAGTGTCTACTTTTGCAAGCCAAAACTAACGGCACAAATCCAGCTTCAGATCAGCGCCGATCTGAAAACGGGCTTGTCCACGGTTATACAGTAAGTCAGTCTGGTGTTTCTTTTCAGCCTGGCCTTGCTCAAACAAAGGCTTGGCTAATTCACTCCAGAGGAGCAGAGAGGGAAGTGACTGGAGGAAAACAGAAAGAAATACTAAGTAAGCATGACATGGCAGATGTGGCTCCGCAAAGCGATGCAACAGATAATCGCCAGTCAGAATGAGCAGAAACTAACACCACCCCCACCCCCACACAGAACAATACTGTTTCACTCTGACTCGTCCTTAAAGGCAAGTCCAGGGGAAAGATATTCCCTGCTAACGACAGTATCTTTCAACTTACAGGAACAAAGGTTTCTTTTGTGTTTTTTTTATTGCAAAATCTCCCACATTCCTGGTTAGAGGAGGATGAAATCTGAATATAGGCCATACAGAAAATCAAGAACTGGGGGAAACTTCCACATTAAATCCTATCATCCACACTAGTCACACACATGGCAACATTTAGCACATCAAATATTTTCCTCCTTAGAGTATACTCATCCCAAATGATCCTACATGAAATAGCTACAAAGGAAAGCAAACCTTTTTGTAGCTATTGCCCAATTAACTACTACATCAAGAAATTCATTTTTTAATTCTGTCTACATATAGAAAATAGTATTACTCCCACAAGTTAAAGCAATCCGACACATAAAGAGAAGTTTCCAAAACCACAGTGACTGTAATCAGTGATGTGATCAAATAAAGCTTATGTTGTTAATGTATAGTCTAGTTAATCATGTGCTGAACTGCGAAACAGGGCCGTGACAAAAGTTTACAACAATCTGGCAGCTCTTCTATCTGTGTTGGGGGGCTAGGCATTCCTCTTCCTTGACGAAAGCAGAGCGTTTCAGTTTTCTGTGCTTTCTGGTCTCACAGTAAGCAAAGGAAAATATCAAAACAGAGTGAAACTGGTAAACCGTCATGTATTACCAGCCCTCACGAATGCAGCGCGAGACATGCACAGCTACTTTAACAGCCCTTCCTCACAGAGAAGTGCTGCAAACAGCAGTGTAAACAGGCAAGAGAGGACTCGTTGCAAAGGATTTGGCCAGAAGCCCATGTGTGCTCACTTTGAGAAGACACAGCTGCTGGCATCCCAGAGACCTTGCAACCAGACAGCCGTGTCCTGGACTGACCAATGTCCGCTGGCTCCGAACAGCAAGGCCACAGGAAAGGCCAAAGAACAGGGAAGGATTATGCCTGGTAATGTAATCCAAGGGCATGGTGTGACTGAGGCAAAATCTTTATTCATGCTTGCATGTGATGAGAGTCATTTGTACCTTCTTTAACTTTCCTAACTGCTCCACCAACCAAAGCTAGAAACAATTCATTCAAAAAAGAGCAAAATATTTCTGTTTAAAAAAACATTTTCATTGCTGTCCCCTAAGGCATTTGCTCCCAGAAATGATTCAGAGTGTTTAGATTAGGCCTTAGTTTCAGAGTGCTGAATTAAATCCTTATCTATAGGAACCTGTGACGGATGCATACCTATTAGAGTGACCGGCGTGCCGTACTCCAGGGCGGAGATAGCAGTCCACTTCCCAGTGCCTTTCTGACCGGCAGCGTCCCTTATTTTGGGGAGCAAGTGCTTCCCGTCCGAGTCCCTGAACTTCAGGATGTTGGCTGTGATTTCAATCAGGAACGAGTCCAGTTCCGTCTTGTTCCACTCTTCAAACACCTTGACAAGGGAGAAAAGCAAGAAATCACTCTGTCCCCAAACTGGATGCCCCCACACACACTCGCCTTCCTCTCACCTGAGATTCAGGCCTTATCCCGATAAAGCCCAGAAATGTGCATGTCGCCTGTAAATAAATCTTTATCTTTAAAAATCTTCCAGACGCTTCAAATAAAGTTAAGCTCCAACGTTCATCTAGCAGGGGAGGGGCACAACAGCTGTACTCTTCACCACGTTGCTGCACTCAAATTCCTCTGCACAAATCTGTGCTGTCCAACCACTGCTGCAGAATGGATTCTCAATTCACCCATGCAGTTAACGAAAGCAATAAAGGAATAAATGCATTTCAACTACAGCAACTGCACGTTTACCTGTTTCACCCACAAGTTTAAGAGAGCCTGGCTCTCTTACTAATCAAGTGCTCTTCCTGGAACAATGTGCTAGCGAATTCGGACACGAGCGCTGCGTTATCTCAAGTGTTACCAGCGGAATGAGCGGGCAAGAGGACCGTGCTAGGCTAACCTTGGCCATGTCATCGTGGTCCATCTTCAGGACATCCTTCATCAGGTGGTAGGCCTCGCAGATGAGCTGCATGTCTCCATACTCAATCCCATTGTGCACCATCTTCACAAAGTGACCTGCACCCTCATCGCCCACCTGCAGGACAGCAGCCACCACAGAGACCCTCAGACACAGCAGTGCAGAGCAGAGGGAGACATCCACCTCTCCACCCACACTGCCATTTCCTTCAGTGTGATCAATAACTAGCTAATTGGTACACTTTAACTTGTACTGTATATGAGAATAAATATATACTGTATATGAGAATGAGAATAATTGTGCAAAGACAAAACAGAACAGGAAAGCGAAGACTATCACATAAGAAGTTAAAAATCAAATGCACCACAGCACAGTACACAATACAGTTTTGTATTGCTATAGCGCTCCAGGACATACAAAATATGTGAGCTAAATACAAATGTAATTCAATTAATTACTGTAATGCTCTATGTGGACAGCATTCCAGTGGTTACTGCACACTTTAAAAAATCCCAGACTCTTTGTTCATATTTTCTTATTTCATGTTGCATATTTTTTCAGCTTACCCAGTCACAACAAGGTTCTCCTGTCCCAACCTTAGCAGCTATGCTCTGGAAAATGTCCTTTATATGTGGCCTGAGGAAGAAAATATCTGTAAGAAACTGCAATCTGCAATCTCTACAGTATGCCTTACTCTGTTCATGCACGGCATTTTAGATTACGATCTCCGTTTCTGATTTTAAAATTATAGATTATAAAAATCTGTGAGAAAGTGGACTGAATTGGCTTTAGAGCTATCCATCGATTCAACATGGATGTCAGAATAATTAACTCACATTCAAAACATAAAACTGTCAAGCATCTATTAAAAAAAAACGTGTTGCGGTTAATTTTGCAAGTCCAAGCAAGACCCCATGGCGAAATCCTGAAGGCCATTTGCAGGATTGAAGAAGCATTTATTTCTGCATCCGTGCTTGCCAAGCACCAACGGCGCTCGCTGCAGACGCATCACCCAGACTCACCAGGCCTCTTTGTGGCCCCCGGGCATCAGCGAGGGCCCGTATCGCGCCCCATCCTCCCCCCCGCTCACGCCGCTGCCCACGAAGAGCAGCTTCTTCTCCTTCAGGCTCCTGCAGCGACGCTGCAAGACAAAGCGCACGGGGGCCTCAGTCTCCGGC